ATATTATGTATTTATAAAATATTATAAAGTAAAAATATTATAAGGTTTATATCTGGAGATATTTTGCTAATTTCTTTGATGTTTTATTGAGTATTCAACTCATGGTTTAAAGAGAGTACATCAAAGGTTGTGTTTTGTTCTACAAAAGAGAGAGTTGTTCTTCGGTGGATTCTGAAGAATTCGAGCCTGAAGCTTTGGTGGATTCCGGGGTGGCTCATCGTAAAGACAATTCCGAGGTGAAGACGGGTTGGAAGAGGCACATAGAGGTTGGTTCAATTAGGCGTGGATTCGCTAGGTAATTGAGAGTATACCTGTGTAATTCCTTTAAATCTTCTTAGTGGATTGTTTTGTGGCAGTTGCCCGTGGTTTTTTAAACACAGTTGGAGGTGTCCAATTGTGATTTTTCCACGTTAAAATCGTTGTGTTGATTTGTCTTGATTGTTTGATTGAGATTGTTATTTACTGCTTAAAATTGATACATAATCACAATTCAACATCTAGGGGATTTCTAGATTTTTCATAAATAATATATTTCCTTAGAGTTTTAGGTATAGATATGTATATAGAAACCCACATGTCTATCACTATATCAGGTAAATTTAAATTAAAAAAAAAAAACCCCACAAATCTCACAACTCTTATTTCTAACTGTTATATATATATATAAACAAAAAAAAATAAAAATAAATCAGATAATATCTCTGTGTGTGTCTATCTAAATCTCAATCCAAAATTTTTGAATTTTTACATTTAAAAAAAATTACTAAATGTCATACTCAATTTCTATTGGATCATACTTCATTTTACACACAAAAAATAAATAAATAAATAAATAAATAATTAGAGATGAGAGACCTAACAACCTTATCAACACACAATGTTCACCAAAATCTCTAACTAAAAAGAAAACGCCTAAACAGTAACCCATGACAAGTAATGGGATTATGATTTTCTACATAAGCTGTGAACTAACCAAAGAAATGGTCCCCCCTTTTGAAGTCTTACCAAAACACAAGTTGCGAGGCAAGCCGGTCTTTCTCTAGCGTACACGAAAATTGCTGAGGGTTTCATTATGAAGTAAATAGGCATTACTGTACACTCATTGAGAAATATGTTCAAATTGTCTTACAGTTTCAGGATTTTTAGTTCCAAATTCAGCAGCTGATTTTGGATTATTAGGCATCCAAAACATGAGAACTGAGGATGTAGTAACAAACATGACCCTGTAAGATGCCCACTTCAAGCAAGAAGCAATGCCTATGTGGCTATCTCAAATTGCCACCTATGCATTGACGATAGAGTAGCGTATAGTTATGCCCATGTTCAAACATCTTTTCATTATCCACCATGTATAGTTATGTCATTTTTAAAATTATTTGTAGAAGCTGATAGTGTTTTTGTGTGATGAGACATGTATAGATACAAATAGTTCGAGAATGTACCTTCATAAACTTACCCAAATTAAACTTGTTTGAATTTTTAAATATTCAATTAATTGGTTGTTAACTTAGGATTGTTGGTGGCAAAAAGTAACTTGAAGACTCAAATTTGGCTTGTTAACAAGCTCCAACTTTGAAGGACTCATCATCATGCATAAACTAGAAGTCTACAATACAACTACTAATGGATTCGATATGTAGCGAGACTCTCTACTAAAAAAATTATTTTTTGTGACTATTACAGGCCATCGCAAATAACAAAAATCTAGTTGCAAAAAGTCTTTTACAACGATCATGTGATGGCAAATGAGAGATGCGAATGTGATGTAGAAAATACTTTTTGCGACCTTAAAACAGTGGTCACAAATTATTTGCGACAGCCTAACCTACTTATAAATGTTTTGCCGTTGCAAAAAACAAAACAAAAACAAAAAAACAAATACCTACAATGTTTTAGCAACCATCTTGTTACCATCGCACAAAAAAACCAAAAAAAAAAAAAAAATGTCTTCAATGTTTTATCAACCTATGTTCTCATACATAATATACAATAAATGTAAAGAGATGTTTATAAAAATTCTAGCATTCATGCATTATTTTCCATTTGTTCCCTTAATAAAATTCTTTTTCTTCGAAAAAAGAAGAAGTTTGCATACAAAATATAAACTTCCATACACGCAAAACAAATATCCATCAACCATCCCTAAAATATTTATACAAAGTACTAATAGATTCAAGTCCTCAAAAAAAATAAAAAATAAAATAAAATAAAAAATAAAAGAACAATCTTAGTTTAGCTCCCAATATCACTACACGATCATATCAACTATTCCCTCAGCAATACCTACAAAAACAAATTATATTATGATTAAGGTTTGTTGAGTTGAAATACAGCCAAAGGCCATCGTTATCTAACTCAAAACCTAATAACCATTCAAATTTTGAAGTTGTAAAAAACAATGAGAGAGTATCCGTGGGAACAATTGTTAAGGGTCATATTTAAATAACACCATAGCATGGAAAGAGTAAAAACATTACTTTCTTTTGGACCATGGAATTCCACATTGAATTCACTAATTCGATCATTTATTGGTTCCACAGCATACTCACTCATCATCCTATAACACAATAAAACAGCAGATCAGTCATAACACTAAAAAAAGGTCAAGATCCACAAATTTGATTTCATTTGATATTGCAGCAGAAAAAACCAGAAAAAGAAACATCCAAATTTCCAATAGGCAAACTGAAAAGCCAAAGAGTATATGAAGCCAACATACTTTTCTTTCTTTTTTTTTTTTTTTTTGATATCCGAATGTTTGGGCTGGCTTTCGTGTACCTCGATTAATCTCGGGGTCCTGAAGTTAATGACCAGGCAAACCTCTAGTGGCCCTAAGGTGTGACTCGAACTCGAAACCTGTAGATTTTATCCTCCAAGCTTTATCATTCGGCCACTTGCCTTGGGATTTATATGAAGCCAATATACTACTAGCTACAACTGTAGAATTCTGGATATATGAAACAGAGATGTACATAGGATTTTTGTTTTGTATATGAAGCGAAAGACTTTTGTTTCATTTATTTATAACTATAGCAGGGGTGACCATTTGTTCAATGGTTAAAATTTACCCTAATAACCTTGAGGTTATAGGTTCAAGTCTTGGGACTACCACTTTGTGCATTATGCCAAAGGTTAGGTGTACACTCAATCTTTCTCTTCCCAAATATATATTAATATGTACTAATTGGGCGTTATTTTTTTATTTATAACTATAGCGTAAATTATGTCAGCAAAGTCGAAAAATAAAAAGCAACAAGCCCACAAAAGTAGCGTATTACTCAAAAACCTTACAATTTCATGACATCCATATCTCTCTTCCTGTTTGGCATGATGAATATAAGTGCACTTATTTAGATAAGTGTACTTATTTGGATCACATCACCTTTATATTTTTCTGCACATCTTTTTGTAAAAAAATAAAAAGTATATTTATTTAGATCATCCTAGATAACAAAAAATTATGTATTTACCACCCTGCCAAATTCAGAACAAAAGAAAACCGATGTAAGCACATGAAAGTGCAATTTCCAATAGGTAGGTCCATATAAATATATATATATATATATATTTATATAATTCAAACATATAATAACAAAAAAAATAAAAATAAATTACAAAAAGTAAACTACTAGAGTGTGCTATGGCAAGATCAAAATATGGTATGCAGCAACTTGAGAGAAGTGATCAACATACTTATCACAAATCGATATGTAGAAACTTTAGAAAAGAAATCAACATAAATATTACAAATCAGTATGCAGTAACTTTAGGGAAGAAATCAACATAAATATCACAAATCCTGTAAGTCGTAAAATGCTTGACACCAAAAGGGACCAACTTTGGCAGGATAGAGCCTTGAAATTCACTTCTAGAAAAGCCTTCATCATCCCCAACTTCGGTTTCCTAGTGCCTAGATTGAGACCATTATCCATTATATAAATATGGTCCTTGCTATGACTCATAAAACCAATTGCCACACAAGTCCAAAACTGAATATGCACTAAAAATATATCATTTTTCTTATAAAATATTTTTTTGTGAACTGATTCATATCTGTCTGCAAGTGAAAACAAGAATTAGTGTCCACTGAAAATTCTTAGCATATAAATTCTTTTGCAAGAGTTTCGCTCCTAATAAGAGAATTAATCATCAACCATTCAAATTCTAGAACTACTTTCAAAATAAAAGAATTCAAGTTTTGGGAACCATTTCTATCATTCAATTAACAAACATATCTTAATCCTTAGAGCATCAGTTTGTGATAATTCTCTTTCCAGTCTAATTCCACTGGAACTAGGAACCTTAGGAATTTGCAGTATATAGACTTGGGATAAACTCTCTTGGAATGGAAGCATACCTGGCATATGCAACTGCACTACTTTGTCAAAACTCAGCCTTATCCTTAACAATCTCACTGGTACAATCCATCAACATCGGTGATTTAGTTAATCTTCATCGTTCTACCACCGGCGACCAAATTCCCACCCACCTCTCTCTCTCCATTGTAAAAGAAACTAAACTATCCGAGCCTATGAAGCCGGATACTCCGAAATGGCCCCTGAAGCATATTGGATACGTATCGGATACGGATACGCGCTGATACGACGGAGATACGTATCAGATACGACAAAGAAGTATCCATTTTTTTTTTTTTAATTTTTTGAATTTCGGATACGTTTGGAATACGTGAGGATACTTCAGGGATAAGGTTGGGATACTTTCGGGATATGACAGGGCAAAAAAATAATTTAAAAAACTTATAATGGGGTCAAACTATAAATAAAACAAAAGTAAGGTAAAATAAAACAAAAAAATCAATCAACCAAACCCTACCTAGGTCGCGAACAACAGCAGCAAAGGAGGAGAGGAGGAGGAGTCATCTCTATCAACCAACCAACAAGGAGTTGTCCGTCAAGTTTGCGAATAGTAGCTCATCGATCAGGTTCGTCTCTCTCTCTCGATCTCTCTGATCTTGATGGACAGATCTCGCTGGATTTCACTTACTCACTCTCTTTCTCCCTTTATCGTCTCTCGCTCTCCCTTTTGATCTCTCTGGACACATTTTTTTTGTTTTTTTTTTTAAATTTATTTATAAGTATGCTCTGTAACCTGTTTTGGCCTCATTTAATATACAATTTTTTTTTTGTTTTTTTTTGTTTTTGAGTAAATTACATTGACACCCCTTGAGGTTTGGTCCAATTACTACCCACCCCTTGACATTTTAAAAATTACATTCCTACCCCTGTGATTAATAGTCTCATTTCACAAATCCCCTTACTTATATAAAAGGTAACAACTCTTAGTAAAAAAACAGAGGAAATTACATTAAAAAAAAAGTAAAGGAAATAGGGAAAAAAAAAAAAGAAAGTAAAGCAAAGCAAAAAAAAAAAAGAGAGAGTGCATGAGTTTAATATTTTCATTCCGTCCAAATAATTACAACGATGGGGGGTTAGTGCAATTTTCCAAACGTCAAGAGGTGATATGTATTAAATCCAAACCTTAGGGGGGTGTAAGTGTAATTTACCCTTTTTTTTATTTATTATAAGTATACTCTGTAACCTGTTTTGGCCCCATTTGATATCATATATATATTAGCTTTTATATTTATAATTTTTTTGATTGTTAGTTTAAAAGAATTAAAATTAGTTGTAAATGTGTTTGGTTATGAAAAAAGTTGAACTTATTTGGCTAAATAAATTGTCCCATTACTAAAAATTGTTGTCTTTTTTTTTTTTTTTATAATTTTTTTTTTTCTTTAAGTTTTATTTTTATTTATGTTAATAATAATAATAATAATAATAATAATAATAATAATAATAATAATAATAATAATAATAATAATAATAATAATAATAATAATAATAATAATAATAATAATAATAATAATAATAATAATAATAATAATAATAATAATAATAATAATAAATAACATAATAATAATAATAATAATAATAATAATAATAATAATAATAATAATACCAAACTATTTGAGCTCAGCTCATTATGGTTCCATTAAAGTTCAATTGCGATCGACTCGGAAAAAAAAAAATCAAGGTTGAGACAAACAAACAAATAGATAATAAAAAAATCAAGGTTGAAGCACGTTTACAGCCATATCTCTTGCTCCTCAAACAGAGGAGCAAAAGAAATCAAAAACCAAGAAAACAGTGCCTCGAATCATTAATGAATGTATCCTCACATCTTGCAACCAGAATCCAAAACAAATAAACAAATACAGGCTCATGAGACAAACAAACAAATAGATAGATAAAGGTGTTTTTATATTCTCATGTATGGAGAGAGAGAGAGAGAGAGCATCCAAGTAGTAAAATGAAGCAAACACTAAACTATTAACCTTTTCAAGTTAAGACTACTACAACTTTTTGAATCCACTGTCAAATAGAAGACCATAATTAGTATAATACCTATACATAGGAAGTCTCAGGTAGCAAACCCGTCTCGCAAAAAAAAGAAAAAAAAAAGTGTTGCAATGGGTGCACAAGGAAAAATCCCCAGAATGGTTCCTGCCAAATAAGTGGCGAAGGGACATTTCTCTACAACTGCTCTTATATTTCCATAGAATATTACACATTTGACCACCAAGTTGGTCATCCAAATTTTAAAAAAAAAAAAAAAAATCCAAACTAATAAACATCACACATGGTTCTACAAAATATGTCAAAGATAAACAACAAATAATCTTGTCCTACCATACTTGTTGCTTGCATTTAAGGCATGTAACATTAACTTATGCAAATCTAAAAAATTTACAAATAAAATTTTAAACATCAAATGTTAGTTTCAAGAAGCAAGTATTGTATTATTGATCAACATAATACTTCAAAAATGTGTGTGTGTGTGTGAGAGAGAGAGAGAGTGAGTATACATACACATGTCAAAAATTAAAAAGCATTAAAAATTAAAAAACACATTATTTCCATTTCCGATGAGAAAGACCTTATGCGAGCTATTTTTCGCACTTCTTAATTCAAGAAATGAACTTCCACGAAATATCTCATTCATATCCCCTACAAAAAATATTAACTAAAATCTCAAAAGAAAAACAAAATGAAAAATGCCAATTCAAAAACAATTCAAAGAGCAATATCTCTAACTAAGCAACATTATACACCACACCATACTTGTTGCTTGCATTTAAGGCATGTAACATTAACTTATGCAAATCTAAAAAATTTACAAATAAAATTTTAATCATCAAATGTTAGTTTCAAGAAGCAAGTATTGTATTATTGATCAACATAATACTTCAAAAATGTGTGTGTGTGTGTGTGTGTGTGAGAGAGAGAGAGAGAGAGAGAGAGTGAGTATACATACACATGTCAAAAATTAAAAAGCATTAAAAATTAAAAAACGGATTATTTCTATTTCCGATGAGAAAGACCTTATGCGAGCTATTTTCCGCACTTCTTAATTCAAGAAATGAACTTCCATGAAATATCTCATTCATATCCCCTACAAAAAATATTAACTAAAATCTCAAAAGAAAGACAAAACGAAAAATGCCAATTCAAAAACAATTCAAAGAGCAATATCTCTAACTAAGCAACATTATACACCACTAAAAACAGACTATACAGTACAATTGCACATATATGTTTCATCAAACTGCATTGAAATGTACCTCTCTACTTGTTCCTCAACAATAACCTTGTCCCCAAAATGTTTGAACTGCAACAATATTATACAAATCACGATAAACAACAGAGCGAGCAACAAACTTGTCATTAGAATGCATTGTTACTAAATTGATCTCCATAGAGCATTTTTCTATCATTTAAACTTTATTAGAATCGATTTGACAAGATGTTCTATACAACAGCTGATTCTTGCATGCTTGGTTTTTATATTATATATCTATATCTGTATATATATGCAATGTGAGCAACAAGAATAGAACCTCGGAGAGAGAGAGAGAGAGAGAGAGAGAGAGAGAAAGCGTTTGAGCATGCCTGGCTAGGGAAAATATAAATAAAAGACAATAGGAGAAATAAATGGGGGCAAATATAAATTGGGCAAATATAAAGCCCACTCATAAACTGGACCTTTTACCACCCCTGACTTGCATCTCATAATGTTGTCGCAAATATATTTTTTGCCACGGCCAAACAGACGGTCGCCAAAAAAAAAAGAAGATGCAAAAAGTCAATTTTCTAGTAATGCTGTTAAGGAAAAAACAATACCAACTACTAAGGATTCAATATGTAGCAACTCTATGGAAAAAACAGTACATTCTCTTCTGTGTAGTCCTCTCATGGTCCCATTTGCCATTCAGCACATCACCAATGACTTCCTCTAACGCTTTTCCTCTCACTACATCCTACAATTTTATTCATTAAAAAAAACAGCATCCTGCAATTCCAAGTAAGGAAAACTCATAAATAAGACAAATTCTAGTGAAAGTTTGTAGAAAAATACACCTAATTAAGTAGCCCTCATTACAATGTTGTCCCCAAAAGGGCACTATCAAAAACAGTCTTCTATAACTTCCTAACCTTCTTTTATTTTTCATGTTCTCAGCTCATTCCCATCATAGGCTCTGCCACAGAGCTCTTGATATCTGACGAAGTTGAATGTTTTCATGCTATGTTTTGATCAATGATCATTGATGAATTGTAATGCCAAAGTGTAACACTAATGCTATCATACATGTACCAAAATGAATGGTTATTTAATATGCCATGTGGGGCCAAAGAGTGCCACGTGCCAATTTATGTCAATAATTTGGACGACGGTTGGGAATTGAGCCAAATTGGGAATGATCATATAGTTTAGAGACCAAATTGGGAAAAATAAACTTTAAGGGCCAAGGTAAGAATTCAATAATACTTTACGAGGACAAAATGTAACTGTATGTATAGAGAGAGAGAGAAGCCGGAGCAGAAGAAAGCACTTTTGGTGAAAAGAGAACATATCGTTGACTACCGTAAACTGCAGAACTAACATCAAAACCACTGCCAACTTTCCCTTTTCCGGTCTCACTTGATAAACCCCACCTAGAAGCATGGAAAACTAACACAGTTCAATCCGTTAAACTTTGGCTTGCTCTAAACATTGGCATATGGAAACATCTAAAGTATAACAACGTGCAAATTTGTAACAATACATTAATGATTTAGATAACATGATCCAAAAAATCACTTTCATTCTAGTAGCTCAGAAAGCATAATCATTATAGTAGATGTTTCAATTGTAGTAAAAGAGAAAGAAAATGATAGGCAAAAAATATGAGCAAATAAACACCACTAAAGATAAAATAAGTTAAAGATTTTAAAAGTACAATAGGAAAGGTACAATACCTAATTCTGATATGAATAGAAGTCATTGCAACCTAAGATTCTAATGTCAAGACCTGCATGAATAATCCAGTTGAGACATTAGACATTTACAATTACTTAATTTTAATAAGAAAGATGAAGCATCAAACATTACCTTGTAAAAGTAGTTTGTGTATCAAATCGTTCTTATCCTTTTCCAATGTCACAAGGGATGCTGCTACAGCATATTGCACTGCATATTCTACAGAGGGGTTCCTTGATTCACAGAGATTTTAAGCCAACACTGATAAGCATCACCTCAAGCCAATATACCATTTATTTTCCCCGTTAATTGAATTTAGTTATTAAGACAAGAAAAACCACTAAAAATAATTCTTCTTCGGAAGACACAAATGTGGATTGCACGGTAGCTGCTCTACTTGCCCCGGCTAGTCCAAGATAATGAAGTGAAGAGAGAAAAGTAAATGTGGATTGCTTGGTAGCTGCTCTTCTTGCCGTGGCTAGTCCCATAGAAGACACAAATCCTCTTGAACTTGGATTGCTTCATTTCATTCTCTCTACATCACTCGTCCTAGTTGCAATATCAATAGAAATTCAAGCTATATGTAGAAAATCTTTGCAGAACATCAGGGAAAGTTTTCTTCATAATTTCAACCTAAAATGTGAATTTAGGACCTATTTATAAGTCCAAAAATGACGTTCTATATTTAATTGAAACAACCTTCAAGGTTCTATCTTGGCTTTATTACTGCTTATTACACGTTACAAGGTCAAATGAATTATATATGGCCAACATACATATAGTCTATTCACAAGTTTTGTATAAACCAGCCAAAGACCATTCACAATCTAAAACTTCAATGATCTATAAAATGGTATATTAAATTTTATGAGATTTGTAGTTTCATTTGAAGAGATCACTGCAACTAGATTTATTGTGGAAGCAAGAAGAATTTTATTATTATTATTATTATTATTATCAGTGATATTTATATTAATATTTTATTTTTGTGTAACTACATCTAGGTAGGAATAAATTCTCTATTGCATGAAGGTAAGGTAAAAGCTATCATTCGATATGAATTGCATCCAGAGAGTAAGGTCACTAATTAAGGATGAGGCAAAGGAAAAATGAAAACACACAAGTACATCAAAATTTTCTCCTTCTTTTCTTGTTTTCCTCATTTTCTAAGCAACCACACAGTGCATAAAAGGAATCCGTACACCAGATTTGATTCCTCAAGAGATATGAAAATTGATAGTACCTGTGAGAGATTCAAAGCAGATAAAAAAAAAGAAAAATACCAGTAGAAAGATTCAAAGAAGATTCAATTACTCCTTCAACTGTATTCAATTTCATACAAAACTAGGGCCAAAATTTTTATTTTTCTTCCAGAATTGACAATATGCTTTCAAACGAGTTTAGGTATAATAAATTCTAAAAATTCATCATTTGTATATAATTGTGACAGAGCATCATGAGCAACACCATTAACAATACTCAAAGTAAAATAGACTTCAAGCAAGAAAACTACCAATGGAATGATTCAATATCTAACTTTCCAGTAGTTAGGAACCTAAACCTGAATACTACGTCATTAACAAATCATCAAACAACGTCACTATGGATTGCTATTGCTATGCTTGGTTGCCAGGAAAGCATAAAACAACATTTCCAAGAACAAAAAAAAAAAAAAGATGCAGTTGCCAGAAAACTAGTTTTCCCAAATTGGGAATCACCCAAGAGACTGATCTTCCAAGCAACCAAGTTCGAAGAGTCCCTGCCGTGCTCATGGCACCCACAAGGCGTGTCGGAGACGACATGGTGGCGGTGCATGGTAACATGTTTTTTGGTTTTTCCGGTGAAGCTTAAGCAGCGAAAAAAGGTCATGTGGGATGGCCTCAAAATAGTAGGTGCAATGTGGCCATGGAAAGGGAAAGCTGAGTTCTTTATGGTATCATATTTTTGTGGGTGTGTTTGGGGGTAGAAATTAGTACATTTTTCATTAGTTTGTGGATTGTTGAGTGTAGAAATTAATACATTTTTCATTAGTTCATAACACTCTTCATTTATTTTAAAATAATTTTTTAATTATTTTAATATTTTCAAGACACTTTATATATTAATCCTCACATCAAACATTGTATTTGACTATCACGGGGAGTGGTGGCCTAGTGGAGAAAGCATCATTCTCCAAAGGTGTGACCTAGGTTCGACACCTGCGGGAGCGAAACGCTGGTCCTTTCCAATGGCTCATTGCGATGACCTCCCTCTGTACTTCGATCGAAATCCAAGCTCGTTTGTGGTATATGGTTGAGTTTCACTAGTGTCTCAGTTGAGGGTCTCTTCTTATGAGTTAGGTTAAATCAGGCTGACAACCAACTATCTCGAGACCTGAACTGGGCTCATGGATGCCATGATCACACCCCAAAGTATTCTTTTTTTTTGGTTAAAAAAAAAAAACAATGTATTTGCCTTAAAAACAAATGTAATAGTGTTGGTAGTAGTTAGTTTGGTGCTACAAAGTCCAATTGATCGGGCCTTTCCTATATTGGGAATGCCTACTTCCTCAAATTAGGAAGGGGACTTGGGGGATTTTGAAATTGCTTCCCCAACCACAATCAGAAATACCATGGACCATGAGTTATAGAGTATAAATTTAAGGGCAAATTACATATACCTCTTCTGTTTTAGTTAAATTACAGATACTCCCTGAGATTTCAGAAATTACATCCCTGCCCTTGACAATTAACTACGTTAACCAAGATAGTAAATTGACTAAAATGCCCTTTGATTGGTTTGATTTTTAGGCTAGGGTAAATTACAAATACACCTCTTGAGATTTGTTTGAAGTATAAATTGTCCCCTGTGGTTTGGAAAATTTCAAACACCCCCTTGTTAAATTTTTTTATTTAACAAAATTAACTAAAAAAATAAAATTCATAACTATTCTCCTATACAATAATGGAAAATTACAAACACTCCCTTGTTAAAATTTTTTATTTAACAGAATTAACTAAAAAAATAAAATTCATAATTGCTCTCTTATATAATAATGGAAAATTACAAACACCCCCTTGTTAAAAAAATTTATTTAACAGAATTAACTAAAAAAATAAAATTTATAATTTCTCTCCTTAATAAAAGAGGCGATTTGTTATGAAATTAGAAAGCTCAGGAGGTAGAATGTAATTTTCAGAACTACAAAGGGCAATTTGTATTTTAATCAAACCTCAGGGGATGTATTTATAATTTACCCTTTAGGCTATGTATGGTTTGATTATTAGAATTTTTTTTTAAAAAAATAAAAAATTAATTTGGTTAAGAAATAAAAAATAAAAAAATAATTATCATTTTTATATAATTTTATCCTTCGAGTGGTTAGAAATAATTTTTTACAAATTAAATATATTTCTTCATATTTATTTTTATTAAATTAGTTTTTATTTTTTTTTTAAAAGTTTGAATTTTTTTTTTTAAACAACAAACCAAAGGGATTTTAAGTTAAATCAGGTTGTTTGGTTGTGTTCAAAAAAAAAAAAAAAATGGTTGTTTGGTGCTTTGGTACAGGTTAAATCAGGTTGTCTGGTTGTGTTTAAAAAAAAAAAAAATTGTTTGGCTCTTTGAAAGTTCCTAGGGGTAATATGGTCCATCAATATACATTTTGGTGATATCAGCATACTTCTGTAACGGTTTAGTTCACGGCAGGGGTCAACCTGTTACGTGAATATAAACCTCAGGAGACGGGATGTAATTTCTGAAAGGGGTATCTATAATTTAGCTAAATTTCAAGGGGATATATGTAATTTTTCCTAAATTTAAAGTTCGTGTGATGTGAGCCTTATTTAAAATGATTGTGATTAATAAACATATTTTTCCGAATACTTTGTTGAGAATTTGTTCTTGAATTTGTAGTATTGCTAATACAGATTAATTTAGGTGGATTTAAACTCTTGACATGAACTTTAGGGGAATGGGGTTGCTGCTGTGAGGGTTTATGGGCAATGGCGGAGGCACCAAGGGACAAGAGGGGTCACGTGCCCCCTCTGTATTTTATTTTATTATTATTATTTTTTATTTTTTATTTTTTTTACAAATATAAAGAAAGAGGGTGATTATTGATTTAATAGTTAAGATTTGGCCTAATAACTTTAAGGTTATGTGTTCAAGTCTTGGGATCACCACTTTGTGTATTATGTCAAAGGTTAGGTGTGTACTCAATTTTTCTCCTCCCAAACACACATTAATGTGTACAAATTGGGCGTTGTTATTGTTGTTGTTTTGTTGCAAATATAAAGAAAATATTTTAAATAAAAAAATTACAAAAATATTATTAGAGTGAAATGTTAATGACATTTTAAAAATTATGAGAACAATAATGGTTGTTTTGAATGAAAATGAAGAGACTAGTATAAACCATATCATTTATGAAATTTTTTGAATGTAACGGTGATGTTTATTATTGACATGCAAGTATAACTAATATCACTATAAAGATATGAAATTTATTAGATTGTTAGTTACATCTGACGTGTGAGGTTCACTCTCTATGTGTTTATTTACTATTAGTTGGTGATATCACATAATAATGATGACGTGGTATTACCATTATATTGAATTTTTAATCAAATTTTGTATAAATTTTTTTTTACCATTATATAATTTATTTTAAGACTTATATTCATATTTTTTTATATTGTCCATGATACACTAGTTATAGATAACATTAGTGTGTTTGGTTTGAGTTTTCTGGATTAAGTTTTTTGAAAACTGACTTTTTTGGTTTTCGTATTTTTTGTTTTTAGTGAATATTTTTTAAATTTTAAACATTTTTTTTTGCTTTTTTAGATGCACCTTACTTAGATGTATCTAAAAAGTAAAAAATTTGTGAAAAAATATTTTAAAAAATTAATAAACACATAAAAATTCAAAAAATATACTGAATTCCTGTATTTTATTTTTTTTGTATTTTTGGTATTTAGTGAATTTTTAAAAGTTTTTTTTTACAATTTTTTTACTTTTTACGTGTATTTATGTTAGGTGTGTCTAAAAAGTAAAAAAATTGCTTAAAATATTTAAAAAAATTTAGTAAAAACAAAAAAACATAGAAAATAAGAAAGTAAAATTTTCTGAAAAGTGTTTTTTGAAAAGTGAAAACAAGCAAGGTATTTTTTTGATGTTTCTCGAAATCAATCGTAAAAACTTGCGTTAAATAATTTTGTAAAATTTTTCAATAATTTAATTACTAAGTGCCCCCTCTAATTTGATTTTCTGGCTCTGCCACTGCTTATGGGAGTTTATCCTGGGTCTATTTTGATAATTTGAACTATTCATATTGTAAGGTTTGTCGAATATATCATCCTTGCAAAAAAATTAAGTTAATTAGACATTCGTAGCCCTATGATCAAGTCGTAACTGTTTTTAAAAAAAGTTTTGAAACCATATTAACTATTTATTTTTTAAAAACCAAATGTGCATTTATTGTAGGGCTACATATATCTAATTAATCTAGTTTTTTTTTTTTTTTTTTGTATGAATAATTTATTTGATGAACTCTACCATATGAATAATTTGAATTATCAAAATATACTCGGAATAAACCGCCACAAGCCCTCACAACAGGCTGTTATGCCTAAAGGCACAACAATATCCCTCTGTCCGAACTTCATTGTGTCGTCCCATTGTAGTTACTAGAAGACCAAGACAGCTCATGCTGTGTACCAAAAAAATGGCAGCTCAAGCTGATTACTAAAATACATGTTGGACACATATCTCATATATCTTGTAAGTATGAATGTATTGATATACACTCTTAAAATGACATATTTTATGCACTTAAAATTTCAGTCACAATTTCATAATTTCCATTAATTTGGACTATGACAAAAGTAAATTGGTTTATATAGCGATCCCGGGTTTACCCCTGTTGTACAGTGATCCGGACATGTGTCTGTGGATGTTGGTGATTGGTTATTATCTTGTTTACATCCTTTTTACTTCGTATTTGAGTTATAGGATGTGTTGGGAAGGTTTGTTACAGGTTGGTTAGGCCTTGGTTTCAAATTCCTTGTTGTTGAGTTTTTAGGCTGTCCGCTCGAGCGGGTCTTCTTGCACTCGAGCGTAGATTGCACACTTCCAGTATTTTCGTGTTCCTACAAAACTTCTGCAGATGGGATTTCTGCGCTCGAGCGGGTGTGTTTACGCTCGAGCGGTGGCGCTCGAGCGGGTCGTTTGGCGCTCGAGCGGGTAGTACTTCTGGGTGTAAGTTCTGGGAGGTGGAAATCCGCGCTCG